CTGATTCTCCTCTGAACCCTCGGTCCCAGCACAGAGCACCCTCCTGCACCCCCACCCCCTCATCCCCAAAGTCCACACCACCAGCTGGAGCCCCCACATGCCCCAACCTGCTGTCCCAGCCCAAAACCCCCCCTGCACCCTGAACTCCTCATTTCTGGCCCCACCCTAGAGCCTGCAACCCCAGCTGGAGCCCTCACCCCCTTCTGCACCCCAACCCCCAATTTCATAAGCGTTCATGGCCCACCATACAATTTCCATATCCAGATGTGACCCTCGGGCCAAAAAGCTTGCCTACCCCTGTTCTAGGTCATATGGATTCCTGCATGTATGTGACCTCCTTCGTGAGGTTTCAGCTTTGCTTCCTGCAGACTTGACTTCAGACAGTAGGAGCAAGCTAGTCTCTGGGGGGTGGGGGTAGGGTGGAGTCAAGGCTCAAGAGGAGATGCTCTTCTAGTTCATTGGTCGGGACATCTGATGTATGCCTTCACACCAATTCCTCTCTTACCTCAGCTTCTGAGGAATATCAGACAGGATGGAGCAGCAACAATTCTGATTGCTCCCAGATGGTCCAGGTAATTCTGGTTCACCTACTACAGGAGTGGGCAAACTTTTTGCTGCAAGGGCCACATCTGGGTATGGAAATTGTATGGTGGGCCATGAATGCTCATAAGATTGGGGGTTGGGGTGTGGAAGGGGATGCGGGCTGTGGGGTAGGGTTAGAAATGAGGAGTTCAAGGCTCAGGAGGGGGCTCCGGGCTGGGGGTGTGTGGGGACTCCAGCTGGGGGTGTGGGCTTGGGGCTGCAGGAGGGTGCTTTGTGCTGGGACCAAGGGGTTCAGGGGGGGATCAGGGCTGGGGATTGAGGTGCAGGCTCTGGTTGGCACTTATCTCAAACAGCTCCTAGAAGCAGCGGAATGTCCCCCCTCTGGCTCCTATGCGGAGGCGCAGCCAGGCAGCTCTGCATGATGTCCCATCCACAGGCACTGCCCCTGCATCTCCCATTGGCTGCAGTTCCCAGCCCTTGGGAACTGCAGGGGTGGCACTTGGGGCAGAGGCAACATGTGGAGCCCCCTGGCTATCCCTACATGTAAGAGCTGGAGCGGGGACATGCCTCTGCTTCCGGGAGCCATGCCACATGTGGAGTGGGGCAAGCCCCGGACCCAGCTCCCCAGCGGGAGCTCGAGGGCCGGATTAAAACATCTGAAGGGTCAGATGTGGCCCCCAGGCCATAGTTTGCCCACCCCTGCCCTACCACCTTCATTTGTCACCATGACCAGTTGTCATCAGTTTACAGACCTTCCCAGACCTATTGATAAAGGCAGAGTCAAGCATTCTAATCCAGTTTCCTTCTACCTGTCAGCCTGGGTTTTAGAGGAGCATCGAACCTAGAAAATTCATGTTCAAAAGCAGTTTAGGCCATCCTTAACAATAGTAAGAAGGAGACCACTAGGAAATGCTATGTAGCTAAGTAGAAAGGGTGTCAGCCTGGTTGCATGGTCCTCAGCTAGAGGACTCCAATATCCCTACTATTTTGGAATATCTTCTCCCTTTAAGTACATCAGGTCTTTCCCTCAGCTTCCTATGGGTTCACTTCATGGCTGTGAGTGCCTACCACCCTCTGACGATATCCACTTAGTTTTCACCCATCCTGTGACAATATGTTTTCTAAAGAGAGTAGTTAGAACTTTTCCTCCTGTGGATAAGCCTCCCTGACATGGAACCTCATTCTTGTCTTCTCAGAATTAACAAGGACTCTGTCTGAGCTCAGGGATTCATGTTCATTAGCCTGCTTATCCACGAAAGTCACCTTTCTAATTGCCATCATCTCAGCAAGAAAGGTGGGTGAACTGTGATTTTATCCCTAAGGATACAATTTCTGAGGCTACACCCTAAATTTACCCCCAAAGTGAGCTTGGATTTCCTTCTGAATCAGACAATCCATCTGCACACCTTCTTCCTGAAATCCCACACCACCAGTGAAAACAAAAGGTTTCATGCCCTGGACATCTCTTGAGCCATGGTGTTCTACTTCCAAAGAACAAAGCTATTTAGGAAATCACTTAGATTTAGATCATTTGTAGAATGGAGGAGAGGGAAAGCAATCTTCTCCTAAAGGCTTTCAAAGTGGATTTCAGGATGCATTATGCTGTGATACAAGCTGATGAATATTACTCACCCCAGGGTGTTATAGATCAGTGTGCATGTGCTTTGTCTCTGAGATGTTCTTGTCAAAATCTGACAAGCAGCAATATGGGATGTGGTACATAATGCCTTGGTACAGGCTTCTGCACCTAATACATCTCTCGCTACTACTGACAGGAGCACTGCTGTATCTCAGAGGTCTTCACACATCCCTCCTTAATGAGTGCCTCTTGTCAATCAATCAACTACAGGGAAATACATATAGGGACTATGTGATGTTCCCCTCTGGTGCTATCTGGACGGGTGATCTGCTAGGTCACTCCAATCCTTGACTCTGGGAGCCAGCCTTACCCTGCTCTGCTGTGAAAACCCCCCCTCTTGGGCTGTTTACACACAGCCTCTGGCATTAAGCTGCTCCTTGGACTGTGCAACTGAATGACACTAAACCAATATCTTCAGTCCCAGACACAACCCTAGGAACCTCCATCTTGCGCTGTCCAGTTATGCCTGCTGGATGCTGCAAGCTTATAGGAGTTTTTCAGTTTAACAAAGAAATTGAAATGTACCAGGCTTGTTATCCCAAGGGGTGCCTCTGATGTGCTTCAAGCCAAATGCACTGCTTCAGGTAGAACAAACAAATTTATTAACTATAAAGATATGTTTTGACTTTTAATCACTCAAATAGTCAGACAGATTTGGTCAAATGAAATAAAAGCAAAACGCATTCTAATCTGATCTTAACACTTTCAGTGCCCTTACAAACTTAGATGCTTCTCACCACAGGCTGGCTGGCTGCCCTTCAGCCAGGCTCTCCCCTTTGATCAGTGCTTCAGTTGCTTGGTGTGGTGTCTGTAAATGGAGGTGGAAGAGCATGGCAAATGTCTGTCCCTTTTCTCATGTTGTTTCTTCCCGCTTGGCTTTGCCCCCCCCCCCTTCAGAGTCAGGTGAGCATTACCTCATCACAGTCCCAAACTGACCCAAGTAAGTGTGTGGGGAGGGACTCACTCAAGAGTCCAACAGATCCTTTTGTTGCTGCCTAGGCCAGCACCCTTTGTTCCTGTGAGGCTGGGCTGGGTTGTCCCATACATGCCCTGGTGAGGTGTGAAGTGCCTCTCTGCTCTTAGAGTTCTTGCCTATTTTGAGCCATGAAGACACATTTTCAGCCTAATAACTATATACATGAAATAACATTACTGTAACAACCATGCTCAGTGCATCATGAGCCTTCTGAAGACACCCGACATGACAAACTTTGATACCACACAATCATTTTACAAGGATGAACATGGGGGTGTTGGGTGTTCCCCTGAGCTATAGGGCATTACAGACTATCATTCAAAGAAGAAAGAAAAAGTTAATTACCTACTACAGTAATTGGAGTTCAAGATGTGTGGTCTCTAGCTATATTCCACTGCATGGCCTCCTTGCCCTCTGCTTTGGATCTTGGATATATGATTTGCAATAGAGAAGGAACTGGAGAAGTGGTTGATCTACACTGCCCGTTATTGTCCTCTGTTTAGAGCATGAGGAGGAGAAGAGCACAGCTACTGCTAGAAAAAAAAATATTCCTGTCAGTTGCATGGAGCACATGTGGAATACAGATAGACTATGCATCTTGAATAACTCCAGTTCTTGTACTAAGTAACTTCTCTTTCCACTGATTACAGTAATAACTTGGTCTACAGAATGTACTCTCTCCCAGATTGCAGGTTCAAGGATATGATAATAATGATGAGAAATGGACATGTTCTGATTAGTTTGCATCTGGATCCAAAGCTTGCATGTTCAGTTCCAGAGTTTTGGTCAACCCATGACAGACAGGGGGGCTCAACAGTAAAATTCAGAAATGGATTTGAACTCCCCTAAAGCTCAGGACTGTTAAGACTTGGGTCAGTTCCAGTCTAAGGCGTATGTGTGAAAGTATCAAGTTAAGCCTTCTTGATCCTGCTCTTTTGCATCCCAATAGGGATTCAAAGTTGTTGCTCTGTAGGATCAAAGGCAACTAGTTCCAATATCCTCTTTCAAAAGGACAACAAGAAAAGAAAGTTTCACTATCACGTGGTCAAACTCAGACCCCAACTGATGTAGCTTGTGGAACCGCAAGGGAATTGTCACGGGCGGCAGAAACATGCAGATAACAGCAGCCACAGGAGTGTGTGGGTGGACAGAGGATATTTCCTTTTTGGCTTGTGAATGAGATAAGAAGCTGGAGAACAAAATGAGCAAATATACAAATTCTGGCTGATCAGCAAGACAGACCTTTTTTTATTTTGTGCACCATAATAGCCCATCTCACCTGACAAGACAGGACTGAAGTGCCAGGTCTAGACAGCACAAACCTGTAAATTGTTCTGAAGGCCCCAGCCTTCTCTTTCACCAGCTCCCCAGGCCATCACCCAGGGGTCCTAACAGTGTTACTTCCCTTCTCCACCCTCAGGGACATGAGGAAGAGAGGTGAGTGAATCCAAGGACCAGTGGCTGAGAGGGAGTCCAACGAATCCATGAGAGTGTAGCTGAGAGAATGGGGAGGTATGAAGGGGTTGCAGCTAGAGAGGAAGGAAGAAAGGAGGTGGAAATTGAAGGAGAAGAGAGAGAAGAGGAATGTAGGGAGTGCAAAGTGAGAAACAGGAGAATGAGGGAATGAAGCAGCAAAAACAAGTGCTCAGGAAGGATGTAGAAATGAGGTAGGAGTCAAAAACAGAGGGAGACAGATATAATGAAATGTTTCTCAAAGAAGCCAAGAATGGGGTAAGAAATCCAATACAAGAGCTGTCGAAGACAGTATCGGGGAATGTAGCACAGTAAAGATGGCTTACTCCTACCTTGCCCTTTCATGTAATATCCAGATTTTTCTTTCAGAAAAGGGAGGTGGAAGAAAGGAAAGAAGATGATTGATCGAAAAAAAGAGGGTGAGTGCACTCTTTTCTCCCCTTTTCCCAGATATCAAATCCTTCCTACACGAACTTCCTGGACTTTCACCAGTGCCTCCCCCCTCAATATAGGTATCCCAATTTCCCCCTTTGAGAAGCTGGTCATCTGACCCATTGGAATCAGAATACAGACAACAGATCTGAAAACAAAAAACACTGCAGCAGATAAGTGTTCAAAGCCAGCAGGTGAGCTTTTAAGGATACACAACTCTTTAGTGAAGGGGCACTGCTACCTTGTTAGATGAGACAGGAAGAAGCCTCAGTGGGCTTGCAGTCATAAGGCACATCCTTATGATCAGGGCTGAGCGAGCAGATCTTTACCTTGGGTTCCTGAGGTGCAGAATCACAGGAAGAACAAAGTGTCATAAGTAAAAATTCTTTTTTATTAATTTCCATGTATGAAGCATTTCTTTAAAGGTAACGAACAAGCACAACTGATCCAAGCACATTGAAAGAAAAAGGAAGGTGCTCCTTTAAAAACAACTGCTCAACTTTATTAAAATCGTTAGTAGTTATAGAAGTATAATCAAACCTCACAGGAAAGGAGGGTGTAAGATGGTAACTGCAAGAGCCAGCATGATCCTGCTTATAGCACTGCTCAATTGGCCCCTGTATATCAATTACCTTGGGGTGAGAGGGGTTCCCCATTCCTCTGAAACATTAGGTGTTTGTTACTTCCAGGAGCAGGAGACTGGACTTGATGACCAATGGGCTGAGTCCATATCGTAAATGATGTCTTCCTACTGGCCATTAAAAAAATAAATGGTTTAGTTTTTTTGTGAAACCACTGGCTGATTTAACTTAGAAAACCTGGGGAGGAAATGAACATGAACCTCACAAGAGGTTAATTTTCTCATCCTTTTTTAAAATTCACCTTTTGTTAAGTGGGTTAATTGGCTTATATGTACCTGTAGTGACACATTGACTTACCGGTGCGGTGCCTCCTGATGGTTGTCTGGGAATTAGCTCTTTCCAGCCTTCAGAGCGCCCTTTGCAGGCCGGTGTCTTGCCTGCCGCTAGCCCTGTGTCACTCCCAAACCCAGTGCCCTTTACCTGGGGTTCTGCCACAGCAGTACCCCCACACCCTGGGTCTCCCCTCCCAGGGGAACCTCCAACCCTCTAAACTCACCTTGCCTCAGTGGCTACTGCAGTCATCATCTAGACCCCACTCACTGGGGCAGACTGAAGTCTGTAATAGCCACTCATCACAGGCAAGGGGGTAGGACCAGCTGCCTCTGCCTAACCCTGGGCTGCACCTCTGCAACCCCAGTACCTGTGAAGGCCTGCAGCTTGGGGGTTTACCAGGCGGGAGCTCCCCTTGCCCTATCCGCAGCCCTGCTCCACTCAGGCATCTTCAGCTCCCTCCCAGGTAGGTAGGCAGGCCTTCTCCCTCCAGGGTTTGAGGGAGACTCCTGCTTCAGGCCCACAGCCCTCTTATAGGGCCAGCTGTGGCCTGATTGAGGTGTGGCCCCAGCTGTGGCCACTTCCCCCAATCAGCCTAGGTTTGCTGCTTTCACTCCTTTTCCCTAGCTCTCTCCAGGGCTGCTTTTACTATTGGCTCCCCAGGGCTCTCCAAGGGCTATTTTAACCCCTTCAGGGCTGGAGCGGGGTGACCACCCTGCTACAATACCCCATTTGCACCATATCTTAAGAGTGGTAGTTCTGTAAGCCACCTCCCTTCCCATTGACAAGCACATCAGGTTCCTGCAGAAACTAAAGCAATTTTTTGCATGGATAGATAATATTAAGGAAGTTTTTATATTTTTTTAGCTTTTTGATGTGATTTAGTAGTTGGAAAGGAGGAGCAGCCAGTGCCATATGATTCTGTGAACTTCTGACACAACCCCTTTGGGCCACCAATGGACCACAATTCGAAAATCGCTGTCCTATAATCTCCAAGGAATATGGAAGATACACAGGGAGGTAATCAACGTGGCCTTTATAAATAGCTGAATTACGCTTCATTGTTTTTTTTCTTGTGGCTTATGCATGGAGAAGCATACGCTGCCTGTGAAACTTTGAAAAGCTTAACGGAAGTGAAACAGGAAGTCTGATCCTTTCACAGTTTGTTGATCTGTAAAGACGAGCTGAGTCTGTAAAGACTGGTTTTCTACAACTGACAAAACAACTTGGGGGAAAAAAATCTAGTTGGAAGGAGCCCCAAGAGAGGAGATGCTGAGACGCCTGGACAGAGGAGAGAGCAAGAATAGAGAGCAACTCACTGAACCCGTAAAAAGCAACAGAGTTAACCAATCATCAAAAAAAAGCATTGGTGAGTTTGTGGAACTGAGTTCTAAGTGCTGGAGTCTCATCTAGACTCACTGTGAACAATTAGAGAAAGCTCTTGGTGTTGAGGATGATGTCCTCATAGGCACTGTTTATATATATGGGTTTGATTACATGTTGCATTTCAAATGTAACCAACAATGACCAATAGGGAAAGCATTCCTTGGCTGTTAATGATGGACTGGAGAAACTGAAAGACAGAAGCAAAGTTTAAGATCCTTAAATCCAGCAGGTCATTAGTTGTTAGGAAATAGATGCTTCCCACTCTTTCCACAGAGCTGGCCACAGAGATGCCCATGTCTTTTTCTTGAGTTAATGCAGTTACAATGCTGGCTTTCCCACAGATGGGAGTGGGAAATATAATGAACAAAAATAGACAGCGAGATTAATTATTTTAAAAAGGACGCAGTATATCTATGGCAGTAACGACAATTAAAATACCTTGATACTTGTGTAATATAACTTCCCCTTTAAGCAGCTGCTGTAGTTGCCACGGGGATGTTGTGTGATCATGAATAAGAGAAGGCAATCCATGTGAAGGCTCTGCCAGGGTTTAATTGATTTCTTTATTAGGAGAGGAGGTGTCCTTGAGACACTTTCTATAATGATGTGGTTTACCCTATCCAAAAGTTTCTGTAAGTTTCCTCACAAGATAGAACATGCAATGTTTTCATGTAGTAGCATCCCACAATCTGTTTGTAGAGTTGTCTAAGTGTCCTAAACATGCTGATCTTGGTATAACTCAGTACATGTCCGGTCAAGGACTAGAGGCTCTGGATAGACACTAAGCTGAAATTTCAACTTGCTTACAAATGCCCACAATATCCTCTGGAAACCCCAGCAGCATGATGTTAGATCCTGTTTATTGGCAGCAAAGTCACTAAAATCCCAGAGAGTCTGTCAGTGTGGTACAGTGGCATGAAAAAAATATCTGCAATAGAAAATGTGGGAAACAGTGTCAAACTTTAGCCATTCTCAGGGGATAGCCTTTGCAGAATTTTCTTTGTGTCTTCATGGAAGTCACATGTATCTTTTAGGTCAGTGGTTCCCAAACTTGTTCCGCCACTTGTGCAGGGAAAGCCCCTGGCGGGCCGGGCCAGTTTGTTTACCTGCCGCGTCTGCAGGTTCGGCCGATTGCAGCTCCCAGTGGCCGCGGTTCGCTGCTCCAGGCCAATGGGAGCTGCTGGAAGCAGCGGCCAGTATGTCCCTCGGCCCGCGCCACTTCCAGCAGCTCCCATTGCCCTGGAGCAGCGAACCCCAGCTGCTGGGAGCCGCGATCGGCCGAACCTGCGGACGCAGCAGGTAAACATACCGGCCTGGCCCACCAGGGGCTTTCCCTGCACAAGCGGCAGAACAAGTTTGGGAACCACTGTTTTAGGTAAACATTAGTTAAAGTGAAAATATTTTGTAACTAGGGCCTGTGATGGAGCTTGGCTCTGCCAGGGTTTAATTGATTTCTTCATTGGTTCCCTCTGTAGTTTCCCAGGCTTGCTTTGAGATGAAATTACCTTTCAGACAAGTTTCCTTGCTAACAGCACAGTTCAGCGGGATGTTTCCACTCCCAACCCATCAATAGCAGAAAAATTATTCTCTGGTTGGGAAGAATCTGCTGTTTTTGTCTCAGGTGATCCTAGTTTTGATCTAGACTGCCTTCCTTTGATTAGCCCTACAATGGATATCTGAGGGTTTGGAGTAAAAGTTAATAATGAATTCTGTAACATCCTGAGCTTAGTGTATCAACAGGTCACAGGGTGGACTGGTCCTTTAAGGGAGCTGGGCTCAGCAAAAGGCTCTCCAAAAGGTGCCCAGTGAAAAAGCCTAGCGAGAGAGAACCTAGGGAGGGGCTGTGGAAAAGGCCTAGGCACAGACATAGGTAGGAAATGATCCCAGGAGGTGAAGCAAGAGGTCTGAATAGGTGGACTTGGGCTGCCTGCTACAGGGTCCCTGGATGGGAAACCAGAGTAAGGAAGGGTCTGGGTTCTTCTATAGGGCCACTGGCAAGGAGGTGGTATGAAAATCCCCTGCCACAAGAGGGAGGACAACAGCCTGGAGTCAGGATGAAGACCAGTGTGAGGTTTGCTGGATGCCCGTTTGTTTTGTTGGACTTTGTTTACCACCCAAAAAGGGAAGCAGAATTTGGCTGGAGGGCTAAATCATTAAAAAGCACTTGAATTGCCATATCCAAGAGTAGGAGATTGAAATGCCTGGAACTAGATGAGGGGAAATTGAAGCTCAGAGCATCAGGTACCATGGTGACCTTGTCTGCTGACCACTGTAGGATAGGACACTACCTTGTAGCTCCAGAACAAATCTCAGTGACATGAGCATTAAAAAATGGATATCTAGTAAACGACCCCAGGAGCATCACATCTCACCTTTCCACATGTGTTCATTAACAATGTCCATCACAAATGGGATCTCCAATTTCAGAGCCATAGGCAACATGTGGGATTAGATGCTGTCCTCCACTAGTCACAGCACTGAAATATTTTAATTCAGATCTGATTTTTTTATTGGGTTTAAGGGATATTTGATGGCCTTTTTTAAACAAGAGATGTATTATCCTTGTTGTTTCCTTTGAAATTACTGAGAAACAAGATGCAAATTTACTGCCTATTGTATCAATTGGGACTACTCTGGATTCAAGGCTACATTTGACACTCATGTATTAGGGTTGGAACCCAGAATTCCCATATTTTAATCTATCGCATCAATTTCTTCCTTTGTTTCTTAACATTTTGAAAAGAAGAGGGAGGGTAACAGTGTGCCATTGTTGCCAAGAAGGCCAATGGCATTTTGGGATGTATAAGTAGGGGCATTGCCAGCAGATCGAGGGACGTGATCGTTGCCCTCTATTCGACATTGGTGAGGCCTCATCTGGAGTACTGTGTCCAGTTTTGGGCCCCACACTACAAGAAGGATGTGGAAAAATTGGAAAGAGTCCAGTGGAGGGCAACAAAAATGATTAGGGGACTGGAACACATGACTTGTGACGAGAGGCTGAGGGAACTCGGATTGCTTAGTCTGCGGAAGAGAAGAATGAGGGGGGATTTGATAGCTGCTTTCAACTACCTGAAAGGGGGTTCCAAAGAGGATGGATCTAGACTGTTCTCAGTGGTAGCAGATGACAGAACAAGGAGTAATGGTCTCTAGTTGCAGTGGGGGAGGTTTAGGTTGGATATTAGGAAAAACTTTTTCACTAGGAGGGTGGTGAAACACTGGAATGCGTTACTTAGGGAGATGGTGGAATCTTCTCCCATAGAAGTTTTTAAGGTCAGGCTTGACAAAGCCTTGGCTGGGATGATTTAGTTGGGGATTGGTCCTGCTTTGAGCAGGGGGTTGGACTAGATGACCTCCTGAGGTCCCTTCCAACCCTGATATTCTATGATTCTATAAGGAGAGTGCATAGTGCTGAAGTATATCAGCAGGCGTTTGCTGATGGTAAGCTGAAGAAGTCACATGCTGATGTTTTAGACTAACATCCTGTTGGCATTTTATAACATTTTAAAAATAAAAACTGATAAATTGGCCCCATCCAGAGGATGAAGCAAACTAATTGTTCCCAACTGTATCACTTTCATAGTGTAGACAGGTCCTTAAAATTAACTTCTCTCTAGTTGCTAACCCTTTGGGGGTGGGAGAAAAAACACCTATGCCACTGAGTAGAAGCAGGTGAAATATCACTTACTTGCTCCTGAAAGGGTAACCAACTTTAAATTTGCACTTCTAACTGCAAATGTTTTACCCACTACTGTGACAAATAACACCTACGTTTGCAGTGACTGAAAGTGATAGGCAGGGTGGGATTCTCTTTCTCAGTTTGACTGTTCAGTATGTGATCAGTTTCTCTCTCTTGTTTTTTGTAGTGAGTTAAAGAGAATTAAAACCACTTTAAAACAATAGGATAAGTGTGACCATAAAATAACAAATTAGCAGGAGGATTCAGGGGAATGTGTAGGATGCCTTTAACTCAATTTTTTAAAACTGACAGGTTGGCAGTACAATATCTCCTTAAAAATCCCAGCATGTTTGCTACTAGGTGGTTGGTTTTTGTTTTTGTTTTGGTCTTCCTTATGTTTCAGACAGTTACCTGCAGGGGTTAGGAAAAATCTCCCTCCCCCATGTTTCTGGGTTTTTTTAGGGTGTGTGTGGGGGGGAGATCCTTCCTCTGAAGCATCTGAGATGGCCATACCTGAAGATAAGGACACTAGACAGGGTGGGCCAGAGTGACATTGAGCACTCTCTTTCTCATGTGCTTAGCTGGCTGGTTCTTGCTCACATGCTCAGGGTCTGATCACCAAATGCGGGGGTGGGGAAGGAATTTCCTCCCTGGTCAGATTGGCAGTGACCTTTGGGGTTGGTTTTCTTTGTCTTTCTCTGAAGTATGGAGTGTGGGTCACTTGCTGGGATTAACTGGCTATATGTCACTGTCACGGAGTCCCTGGGCGATGCTCTGGAACTGCTCCCCATGAAGCCAGTCAGGACTCTGGGGCAGTCGCCTTCCTGTGAGCAGCCTGTCTTCAGGACACGCAGCTCACACAGCTTCCACCTTCCTGGGTCTGACCTCGGAGCATTCAGCATCCTCTGCCCCTCCGTGCGCTTCCCACAGCGAGTCCGCTCAGGCGGGGCTCCTGGGGAAGCCAGAGGGTCCTGCACCCCAACTTCGCAGTCAGACGTGACTCTCAGCCAGCCAGTAAAACAGAAGGTTTATTAGACGACAGGAACATGGTCTAAACCAGAGCTTGCAGGTGCAGAGAACGGGACCCCTCAGCTGGGTCCATTTTGGGGGGCAGTGAGCCAGACAACCACGTCTGCACTTCACTCCATGTCCCAGCCAGCCCCAAACTGAAAACTCCCTCCAGCCCCTCCTCCTCTGGGCTTTGTTCCTTTCCCGGGCCAGGTGGTCACCTGATTCCTTTGTTCTCCAACCCTTCAGCTCTCACCTTGCAGGGGGGGGAAGGGCCCAGGCCATCAGTTGCCAGGAAA